TGGGATTATAGACATGAGCCACCACACCTGGCCTAGGACACCAACTTTTTTTTTTTTTTTTGAGATGGAGTTTGGCTCTTGTTGCCCAGGCTGGAGTGCAATGGCAAAATCTTGGATCACCGAAACCTCTGCCTCCCGGGTTCAAGCAATTCTCCTGCCTCAGCCTCCCAAGTAGCTGGGATTACAGGCACGTGCCACCACGCCCAGCTAATTTTGTATTTTTTTCAGTAGAGACAGGGTTTCTCCATGTTGGTCAGGCTGATGTCGAACTCCCGACCTCAGGTGATCCACCTGCCTCGGCCTCCTAAATTGCTAGGATTATAGGCGTGAGCCACCATGCCCGGCCAAGACCTCATTTTTATAAACAATGAAGACTTATGCTGTACCTTGACCTCCTGCCAGTAGGGTCCACCACGGGTGAACATGAAGTAACTATACATCTGATTCGTCCTCTGGAGGAAATCTGTGTCCTGCTTGATATTCACCATCCAAGGCCGACCATCCCCACGTACACGGAGATACAGAGTATTGAACTGCGACCAATCATAAGACAACTTCCTCTCAAAAGCACCCTACGATATTGAAAGGAAAGTTAATTGCACCTCCTTCTCCACTATCAGCAAAATGTGAGTCATCACCAAGTCAGCATCATCAACAAGATTCACTAACCATTTTTCTGACTTTCTGCCCCATAAGAAGGCAGATAAACCCAGTGATTATTATTTTAGCACAAAATACTGACATAGTTATATGTTTCTAAGGTAATGTTCAACACACAACTGGCCCAGGACAGTGTTTACATGGGGTAGGCACTCACCTGTGTTCACTGAATGGAAATGAATGTATTTCCTTTACCTGGTCCTATGGAGCAATGACTTTTTTCTCTTTTTCTTTTTTTGAGACGAAGTTTCGCTCTTGTTACCCAGGCTGGAGTGCAATGGCACAATCTCAGCTTACCACAACCTCTGCCTCCCGAGTTCAAGTAATTCTGCCGCAGCCTCCCGAGTAGCTGGAATTACAGGCATGCACCACCATGCCCAGCTAATTTTTTGTATTTTTAGTAGAAACGGAGTTTCTCCATGTAGGTCAGGCTGGTCTCGAACTCCTGACCTCAGGTGATTCACCCGCCTCGGCCTCCCAAAGTGCTGGGATTACAGGCATGAGCCACCGCGCCCGGCCAAGGAGCAGTGATTTCTGAGTGGCCTATTTTATGACAACTGCCTTTCCACAAGTCAGAAAACTATAGAGAAAAGAGCTTAAGTTTTAAAAGTGATATTTAACAACATTGGCTAGCATCCATTGAATATGTGCATTAAATAATTTGCATGCATAATTTAATCCTCACAACAGTGCTATGATAGGTTATTAGCATCTTACCCCGTTTTACAGATAAACAAACTAAGCACTGAGCTAATAAGTGGTATATCCAATGCTGTTTAACTCCAAAATCTGTGTGCTTAACAACTATCTATACTGCCTCTCTCTTCAAAAGTGGAATTTAGTTCATTTCCAAAGGCATTTAGTTATAGCAATCTCAAGGGTACTCTGATGTCAAGAACACCAATGTCTAGATATAAACTAATATTTATTATCCGTGTAACTTTGGACAAGTTACTAAATCTATCCAACTCTGTTTCCTCATGCATAAACCTGGGATGATCTTACCTCAGGAGACTGCTGTGAGGAATAAATGGGATAATATAAAGTGCTTAGCACAAGGACTGGCACGTCACGCTTAATAAATGTTATCTACTATTTTCATTATTCCAAAATGAATATTTGGGCCAGGCACAGTGGCTCACACCTGTAATCCCAGCACTCTGGGAGGCCAAGCAGGGGGGGCGTGGATCACCTGAGGTCAGGAGTTCAAGACCAGCCTGGCCAACATGGTGAAACCCTGTCTCTACTAAAAATACAAAAAATTAGCCAGGCATGGTGGCGTGCACCAGTAGTCCCAGCTACTACTCAGGAGGCTGAGGCAGGAGAATCACTTGAACCTGGAGGGCAGAAGCTGCAGTGAGCCAAGATCATGCCACTGCACTCCAGCCTGGGTGACAGAGCAAGACTCCGTTTCAAAAAAAAAAAGAAAGCCACAGGCTGACCCTACATCAACTCTATAAAACCCCCGGCCATTACAGAGGCTGTGGTCTTTGTTAGAGGAGATGAAAATCTCTCCAAAAATCTTTCAAATGTCTAACCGCTCAGGATTCCTGAAACGTAACAATGCTGGTTCCTGGCCCAAAGCAATGCCCAGAAACAAGTAACTCCTCCTCCTCAGAAACCACTTCCCCCTTGTCCTTCCACTTTACACTTGTGCCAATACTTATCTCCAAACACAGGTGAGGCGCCAACTATAACATGCCAGGTGTTTTCATTTATAGAAACAAAAGCTATCTTCTATAGTTTATGCTACAATGAAGTTCACCCCTGTTCACTAGAAAATGATGCCGCCTGGGCCTCACCTACCCTTGGAATCCTGGATATCATTGCACAGTACCCACTGTGGGCAGACTCCCCGTTCTGAGGTGCCTCAGAGCTCAGAGTTCCATAGAGCAGTGCACTTTGGTTATTCTTGCCCATTTTCAAAAACACTTCACTTCTGCCTCCAATCGTCTTATCAGAAGTCACTCTCCACTTATCCAAATCTTCTTTCCCGCGGAACTGCCAGACAACCTTGGCTTGTTCCAGTAAGGCCTCTTGCAGAGGGCGGCCTTCCGGTCCCTTCCAATGATTCACAATTTCATCCTTCAAACGCCTAAAATGGTCCATTGCTTCATCTCTAATTGCTTTATCGAAACTAACATCAGGTTTCCCCTCAGGACAAGTTATATCCAAAGCAACTTCTTTCTGGTGATGTCCTTGCAAACCCCCTTCAGTCTTCCTCTGTGAGGAGGCTTTGCCAGGAGAAGCCACTGGTTTCTGAAGACTACTGGAATAGTCTGCAAAGCGAATACCCAAAAATGGATGCAAGGCAGAAGCTGGCTTAGAGCATTTTCTGAGAATATAAGTACCACGCAGCACTTTGTGAAACAAAGCCATGGTCCAAAAAAATCAAAACGTAAGTTTCTTCCTGGGCTACCAAGGGCTACGAAGAAGCTTCAGCAAATAGCCCAATTCTACCTGTAACAGAAGAGACATTGAAGAATTATCAGTATAGCAATGAACGCATCACAATTTCAAATTCAACAGAAATCAGGTATTTTGAAATTTGTTAACTTATTTTGTTTATTATTATTATTATTATTATCATTATTATTTGAGACAAGGTCTTGCTCTGTGGCCCAGGCTGGAGTGCAGTGGCACAATCATTTTAGCCTCTCTACTTTCTGGAGTCAAGTGATCCTCCCATCTCAGCCTCCCAAGTAGCTGGGATTACAAGCACACACCACCACACCCACCTAATTTTTAAATTTTTTGTAGAAATGGATCTCTCTGTCCAGGCGCAGTGGCTCACACTTGTAATCCCAGCACTTTGGGAGGCTGACGCGGGTAGATCACGAGGTCAAGAGATCAAGACCATCCTGGCCAACATGGTGAAACCCTGTCTCTACTAAAAACACAAAAATTAGCTGGGTGTGGTGGTGCGTGCCTGTAATCCCAGCTACTAAGGAGGCTGGGGCAGGAGAATTTCTTGAACCTGGGAGGAGGAGGTTGCAGTAAGCCATCGTGCCACTGCACACACCAGCCTGGCAACAGAGTGAGACTTTGTCCCAAAAAAAAAAAAAAGAAAAGAAAAAGAAATGGATCTCCCTGTGTTGCCCATGATGGTTTTGAACTCCTGGGATCCAGTGATTCACCCCTCAGCTTCCCAAAGTGCTGGGTTGCAGGAATGACGCACCATCCCCGATCTTTTTTTTTTTTTTTCTCTTTTCACAAGAGAGTGGGTCAGGCCGGGTGCGGTGGCTCACGCCTGTAATCTCTACACTTTGGGAGGCCGAGGCGGATGGATCACCTGAGGTCAGGAGTTCGAGACCAGCCTTGACAACATGGTGAAACGCCATCTCTACTAAAAATAATCCAGGCATGGTGGCAGACGCCTATAATCCCAGCTACTCGGGAGCCTTAGGCAAGAGAATCACTTGAACCCGGGAGGCAGAGGTTGCAGTAAGCCGAGATCGCACCACTGCACTCCAGCCTGGACAACAAGAGCAAAATTCCATGTGAAAAAAAAAAAAAGAGAGAGAGACAGGGTCTTCCTCTGTCACCCAGGCTGCCACGCTGTGGCAAGATCAATAGCTCATTGTATCCCTGAACTCCTGGGCCCTGGGCTGAAATGATCCTCCCACCTCAGCCTCCAAGGTAACTGAGACAACAGGTGCACACCACCATGCCCAGCTAATTTTTTTTAAAAATGTTGGCCAGGCGCGGTGGCTCACGCCTATTAATCCCAGCACTTTGGGAGTCCAAGGTGGGCAGATCACTTGAGGTCAGGAGTTCAAGACCAGCCTGGCCAACTTGGTGAAACCCCATCTCTACTAAAAATACAAAAATGAGTTGGGCGTTGTGGAGAGCGCCTGTAATCCCAGCTACTGGGGAGGCTGAGGCAGGAGAATCACTTGTACCCAGGAGGCAGAGGTTGCAGTGAGCTGAGATCACACCATTGCACTCCAGCCTAGGCAACAAGAGTGAAACTCCATCTCAAAAAAAAAAAAAATTGTAGCCCACCATGGCGGCTCACACCTGTAATCCCAGCACTCCGAGAATCTGAGGCAGGCAGATGACTTGTCAGGAGTTGGAGACCAGCCTGCCCAACATGGTAAAACCCCATCTCCACTAAAAATACAAAAATCGGCCCAGTGTGCTGGCTCATGGCTGTAATCCCAACACTTTGGGAGGCCAAGGCAGGCAGACCACCTGAGGTCAGGAGTTCAAGACCAGCCTGACCAACATGGTGAAACCCCTACAGAAAATACAAACAATTAGCTGGGTATGGTGGCCCATGCCTGTAATCCCAGCTACTTGGGAGGCCTAGGTATGAGAATTGCTTGAACCCAGGAGGCAGAGCTTGCAGTGAGCGGAGATCGTGCCACTGCACTCCAGCCTGGGTGACAGAGTAAGACTTCACCTCAAAAA